AAAGAGGGGGGGGGGGGGGCATGAACCAACTGGTTCATGGCTGAACAGTATAAACAGATTAATGTCCATAAATTGATTATAAATCAATTGAACTGATTGGTAACAATAATCATGAACTGATTAGTGACAATATAACCAAAATCACAGACACGACTTGTGACTGATAACAACATCTCACACTGTAATGCATGCAGACAGAAGTGAGCTTAAACAGAGTTCCATGAGAACAATAACATTCATTCTGTTAGAGCACTAAGGACAGAATGTGTCATGGAACGAGCCGTTACATCACGTAGGTAAAAGCGAATAAATGAGCAGGGTGTTGACCATGCAGCCGCAGTGCAGATGTCCTGCATTGACATACCATTATGCAGAGCAGTCGAAGATGCGATACCCCTGGTCGAGTGTGCTTAGAGGTTGACAGGAGGCTCTAAATCTGATGCTCTGTAGGCTTCAGAAAAGGCCTCACACAGCCAGTGTGACAAGCGCTGGATGGATAACGGCGACCTGTAGAAGCATCTCTATAATGCACAAACCATTGTTGAGTTGAAACGCATTGCAGCTGTGTGCGTTATGTAACACGTCAACGCCTGCACCGGGCAGAGAAGAAGAAAAGATGCTTCCTCTTCTGATCTGTGGGGGGGAAAAGACCCCTCCAACGATATCACTCTTGATTTAAAAGAGCTCGTGATGTTTTAGGCATAAAAGCTGGGTTGGTCTTAAATCAGCTGAGCTGCCCGTCAGCCTAATTCTAAGGCATGACGAAGCAACAGAGAGGGCAGATAAATACTTACCCTCTTAGCGGGTGTTAAAACCAGTAACAGGGCTGTTAAAAAAGACAAGAATTTAAATGAAACCTGATCCAGAGGCTCAATTGGAGCTTTGATCAGGGCTCGCAGGACCAGCGTTAAACCCACTGTGGAAAACAAGTGGGCGTGAAAACAGGCCTACATCTCTGTACACCTTTAGAAACCGCTTCATCAGCGGGTGATAAAAGCTGTTCTGTCTCCAAACCCTTTGTGGCAGGAAGAGATGGCTGCAATCGTACGTTAAAGCGTACTGAAAGCCAACTCCCTATCCATCAGCTGTTGTAGAAAAACAACACGCCGCTTAAAAGGCATGAGGTGGTCTCTAAACCTTCTCTGTGCACCAGCGCTGAAAAGCCGTCCCCTTGATGTGTACAGAACTGTGGTAGATGCAGCACGTGAATCTTGAATTGTGCACACTATCTCCTGAGGGAGACCCATCCTCTAAGTGGAACCGCTCAGCGGTCAGACCCACCGGTGTTGACCTATTTCTGGGTAACTCTTGGTCGCTCCTCCTGCCTGAAGGAGAGCATCCTTCCTCCATGACAGTTCCACGGCGACCCAACAACAGACGTTGCAGGCCTGGGAACCATAGTGCGTTCACACGCCGGGAGCCACCAAGGAGGGCTGTCAATCCCTCCTCTTGAACTCGGTTCATGGACCGTAAAAAACAGAGGAGGTGGGGGGGAAAGAAACGCGTAAAAAGCGTTTTGGGCCACCGACTGTGAGCAAATGCGTCCCCCCCCAGCGATGGATCGTCTCGCGGGCTCAGGGAAAACCGTAGTTGACATTGAGCGTTCTTCTCGCATCGCAAACAGGTCCACAGCTGCTTTGCCAACTTCTGCTGCGTCTGAAAAACATCAGATCCGGATGGAGGATCCGGTCCACGTAACGTGGGCCGCCCTTGGACGTCACATCAGAACACCGGATATGTAAACCGCTCTAATAAAAGCAGGTTTTGATGAACCCAACTCAGTAGCTTTCGCACAATGTGTAACATCTGGCTGAACGCACACCCTGATGGTTATGTATGCAGCAGTCATCATGATGTCTGTGTGAATCAACACGTGTTGATTCTGTAGCACAGGAGCAAGGTGTTGAATCACATTCAGTACTGTGCGACACTCCAAAACATTGATGTGGGCTGATGTGTAGTGGGGCCACAGCGCCCCTACTGCTTGAGATAGGTATGTCCCCCCCCCAGCCTGACAGCAACGTGTCCGTGAAGACTGACCCATGACGTGAGTCTGCTGAGGGGGACTCCCTCTGATAGAAAAACAAGGTGTTTCCCCAGAGTCGGAGGTCTGCTTCCACAGAGGAAAAGACAATGATCATCCGTCGTTGTTTTACTGGATCCACATGCGGACGTGCAAAAACACCTCTAGAGGCGTCTCATGTGATAAATGAGTTTTCATGGTGGTTGAATTTAATTCCACTCCAGAAAAACAAATGTCTGGGCCGGGAAAATCGAGCTTCCTTCCACTTATGGCGAAGCCCAGATTAACAGGTGTGATGTCAACACCTGATCCTGCATCAGCGCCTCCTGTCTGAAGTGACAGGATCCGCAGATCATCCAGGTAAAAACAAAAAACTCTCGTCTCTGTGTTTTAGGATGATCGGTATGCGTTCTCTGGATGCTAAACAACAGATCCAAGAACGGTCTCACCCCTCCGATCCGTGAGTAAAAACCCTCGTGTTTTCTCTCCCTTGGGGAACTCTGTAGATTACTTTTATCAGAAAACACTTGGATTTCTGCATTTAGGGAAGAGAATCAGTCTGATGATGATGACGGGACCGTTTATATAACTCCTCTGAATGGAGGGGTTCGGGTTGCAAACTGTAACTTGTACCATTTGCATAAACCCTGTCCATCCATCTGAAAAACGGCGAGCATGTTTTAGCCACTCTACGTAACGTTCGTGGATGAACGTGCGTTAATGATGCGTCATGTTTTGTACGGCTGTCAGCAGTCCGTCCCTCAACCGCCGTCATGCGTCGCGGGAATGTTTTCTGTGTGACCCCGGGCGAGACTTGAGCTGAAGGCGAAGCGTGTGACAGCTGATGACGCGGTGAGCTGCGCGTTTGACGTCGCTGTGCGAACGTTGAAAGGCGGAGGGCGTGACTTCATTTACACCGTGCTGTTGGAGTGAAGGCTGCTTAGCCCCGCGGGAGCACACGTTGTTCTCTGGAGGGACGCGCGCCGCTCTCGCTGGAGGGGCGCGCGCTAGAGGGAGGTGGGACTCATTACCGGATTCTTCGGCTGCTTCACGTTTAAGCTGCGGTGAGCTGCCGAAAGCTGAGAGAGAAGGACCCCCACCCGGACCAGCCTGCGGACCACATTCATACCGATGTGAGCTGGTTAGCGCCGGCAGCTGTGTGTGTGCGCCAGCATCAACGTAGCGCCGTTGGATGGAGGCTGTCCATCTTAGTGATCGACTCGTCATGTCAGAGCGGCGGTGAGTTAAAAACCTGTTTAAGGACACCGGCTCATGTGGAGGCTGTTCCATCCCACGAGTGCGAGTTGACACCGCTTGAGTGAGGATCGTGCAGTTCTAGTTGGTAATGAGTTATTTTCGCTTACCGTTGTGCCGTGATCGACTCGTCATGTCAGAGCGGCGGTGAGTTAAAAACCTGTTTAAGGACACCGGCTCATGTGGAGGCTGTTCTGTGATCGACTCGTCATGTCTTAGAGCGACGGTGAGTTAAAAAACCTTTATTTAAGGACACCGGCTCGTGTGTGGGGCTGTTTCATCCCACGGGTACGAGTTGACATCACTTGGGTGAAAAACGTGCAGCCCGGGATTATAACGAGTTATTTTCACTTACCATCGTGCCCTGTAAGCGATTAATAATGTCTTGGAGCGGCGGTGAGTTTAAAAAGCCTTATAAAGGACACCGGCTCTTATGTGTGCGGCCGCTGTGAGCTCATCCGGGCTTACAGACTGGCTAAAAAAACAGACACTTGATCATTAATGATGATTTATTTCAACTTTCGTGTCACTTTTACACACACCCTCCGGAGACCGTCATTTTGAGAGCTTTCTCTCTCATGAGCTCTGCGATTGTTTGCCCAGAGCGCTGTCTTGCAGGCGAACTCTGGGGAAACGCTGAGCTGCAGGCTGCCGGAGTGCAGAGGGCTGGATTCTGACGGGCGGGGCTGGTGGTGGAACTCAGCGAGAGCCGCGGCCGTGGAAAAGTCGAAGCTTGCTCGCGACGGTCCCTCCAGCGGGACAGGGTGGGCCGCGCGGCTTGATGAGGTGGTGCACAGCCTCTGGCACCTCCTCCGACTGTTTCACTTCGCCAGCATGGTTTGAAGCTGCTCTGAACAGCGCGTCCGCGATGTTTCATCAGGTCTTGTGCAGATTCTCCGGCAGCGAGGGGAGTAACGAAGCCAGGTGGGTCGTTGGGTCGTCGTCCTCCACGCTGCAGTCCTCGACAGGCAAACCGTGGGAGAGGCACACATGTTGAGCTGGCGTCAGCTGCCTGACAGAGGGAGTTCTTTGTCTCCAAGGCAGGTCTGCGGCCTTCAATCCCTTGGACATGCTATGTGCTAGCAGCGCGCGTTGTTGCTAACTGCGGCTGCCTGAAAAACACATTGGTGGGCTCGATTGGAGAGCGTGTTCGCCGTCTGGTTCGTGTTCCTCCGGAGGGACGGGACGCTGCTCCGGCCTGGGCAGCTTCGCTCCGGAAGCTTCCGCGAGGCTTGGCTCCAGGAGGGGTTACCGAGGAATAGCCCCGCTCGGTGAATCCCTCAACTCTGGTGATGGGAGCGGACTGGGGACCGACTCCTCTAATCTACCAGGAAAGAACCGTCTGCGGCCTCGCCCGTGGAACGTCCTGTTGGAACGTGAGGCCGTATGGATCAAGACGGTGAGCCACAGTGGAGCCCAGTGAAAAACAACCTTCCCGCCGATCATCCGAACTGGCGGGAAAAGGCGAGGGACGTAGAAAAAAGGGGTCCCTTCATGTCAGCCTCCTCCCGGGTTCCGCCGGGCAACCCCTGAGGGCGCCGTCGGCCGGGAGCGGTGTGATCGCCGATGCGAAACGAGGTGGGATGGGGTGAGCATTCACTCAGCCCCCCTCCACCTACACTACGCTACCCGGGAGGGAATGAGCAGCGGGGGCTGCAGCTGAGCGCGCCTTGCCCCGGAGGAACCATCCGGTTCGCCCCGAGGGTCGGCGATAAGAGGAAAAAACACAAGATGGCGTTGTCCAGCGTGTAGTGACCTGTCACTGGGAAATGTTCCACGACGCTTACCTTGGAATAAGACTGCTGTCATCTTCTCCTCGGGGAGGAGAACTCACCGGACGACCGGAGGTCGACTGCCGGGCCCAGCATCCTTCACAAGGTTGGTCATTTACACAACTTATCTTCTTTGTTCTTCTGACAGTGCTATATTAGCTCGCTGAAGAAAAAATGGGAGCCGATTTCCCGCTCTTAACGTAATTTATACGGACCGGGTAGGGCCCACACAGCAGGTGGGCGTGGACTAATTTTTTTTCAGTGCTTATGCTCTGCATAACGGGATAAACCCACTAAAGCGAAGGCCTTAAAGGGCGAAGCTTATATGACATAGAACACTCTGTTGTGAGACCTTTGCTGTGAATGTGTCTGAGTGGGAACAGCAGCAAAATTACCATTCTCTGTTGGTCTTCGCTTGTTCACATAAATCTTCTGTAAAGACAGAAAAGAAGAGAAAGTGTAAACAAAGTTCATTATATCTTATTGTTTTAATGACTGGACCGATCGATCCGGCTGTTTTTAAACCATCAAGTGTTTTTAATGATTAAAATTTTCACGTTATGCTGATTTCAGCCCATTAATGCCAGTTTAATATACAAAGTCCATTGTTCCTTACTGCAGGAGGTGTTCTCTCCTATGAAGTTGTAGCCGGTGACTGTCTGAGTGCTGACAACATCGTTTCGGATCATTCCGTTGGTGATGCCATACGCTGCTTCAGGCTCTTTAAAATCATCAGTCAGATCGGTGCAGCAGGAGTCAGGTGAACTTGAAGGCTTGCACAAAATGAAGTTCATGCCTCCCAGCTGTACAGTAAATAATATAAACCAAATATTGATAATGCTCTGTAACAATAAACTTAATTACGTATGTTACTTAATATTTTTTCACCTAAACTTATTTTAGCAAAACTCATTTGTGTTTCACTTTCGCAAATGATGCTCAAGTTGCAAAGTTAAAAAAAAAGAAATCACCTCAAAGAGAAACGTATGTCATGCTTCACATTCAAAAGCTAAAGGTTTACGACACAAACCAGCCATACTGCTCATTCAACATCTTTCTTTGATTCACCTGCAGCATCAGCTGGTCCAGCAGCGGCTCCCAGTGAACACAGAAGTGGATGTCCTCCTTTGAATCAAGTTTATATGTGTTAAGAGGAATTACGTCGACCCTTGTACACTGGGCAGTGATACTCCCTTGGATAGACAGAGAGCTCTCGTTGGCTGAAATGAAAAGCTTGTCACAGCCTGTGGAGAGCCTGACGTCCAGGCTCAGTGGGTTCTTGCCATGGCGCCAGGTACCGCAAAATTTCAGGAAAAGGTCATTTTCACACAAACCTGTTGAAAAAGGACACGTCTGACTTAATTAAAACTCAATAAAGCAATAACAAGACATTTCAGCACACTGTAGGACTGTGAATCAAATCTTTAATCTTTTTAATCAGAAGACGACTCTTGTTTGAAGCCACAGCAGCTTCCAAGATGGTGATCTGATAACCAAACAAACCTTTAGCAAACATGGTGGTAGCATAGTGAAATGACTAAAACAACACTGGTGGATACAGTAAAGAACGTAGCAGATGTGACTAGGCCAGTTGCAACTAACAAGAAAATGTGTAATCGTAATTGTTCATGGCTGAAACTAACATTAATGATTTATTTATAAATTGTATTTTTTTCATTATTACCAGGATATGTAACTAGAATTCAAATGTCTTTTTTTGGGCCTGATTTCTGCTGCAGAAGTATTTTAACAACAAATTGTCTTCTGGATTTGGGACATATTCCTTTAGCATTGAAATGATAGTAAAATGTGTCCTGCTGTTGATGTAAGGTCAATATGATCAACAAATGATGGTAAATAATAGGCAAGAAGGCAAGAAGCCACAGATGGCTTATGGTTTAAACCAGTATTCTCAAACTGGAGTCCCTGGACCCGTGGGGTTCCGTGAGCCAGTGTTTGGGGGTCTGCAAAAAATATATATATATATATTTTAACAAGCTCGTAGATGTTTAACAACCTGTTAAAATACACCAAAATGAAAGAAATTACATCTACTTTATCCAAAATTTTATGCCATCTAGTGTGCCAGGGGGAGCAGATGGTGGGGGTTAAGGGTCTTGCTCAAGTGGGTACTTCCCCTTTCCTACCCACATTTTGATGTTGTCAGTCCAGGGGGTTGAGCTAGCGACCTTCCCATCACAGACTCACCTTCTCTAATCTCTGTGCCACCGTTCCCTCTATTTTTATAGTCCATTAATTTTTATATAGTCAATATTTGTATTAAATTTGTGTGTGTGGGGAGGGGGGTGTCTTGTTTTATTGTTGATTTTAGATGTGCAGTTCTTTTTTGAAATGACAGGTTTAGTTATTTTTTTAAATTTTATTTTAAATGGCTAACAAAAGGCAAAGCTTGCAAACTAGCTTCTCGCTAGATACTGGTAAGTTATGCATAAAGCGATGGTAGCATTGTTTTTACATGAAACATTAATTGTTGTGCTGTCCTTATTCTAATGAATATAATTAAATAAAATCTGAAATTGCTGATTGCATGTGATAAATCCATGATTGTGACAGCTGTACTTATGTCAACTCACATCTGTTATTTCATTCTATTTAATTAAGCACCGTCATGATGAGCTAACAACTTTCCTGTTGAGGGAACCACCCCACACACTACTGAACTTCTGTGCATTTCATATGTGCTGTCACAATAATAATATTTTAAAACGTAATTACATTATAAGATTCTTTGTTTAGTCCAGGTGTAAGAAAAGTGATGGCTGGTGGCATAATGCAGACACAAGAGGAAGATGGTATTTTGTTGTTCCTTTATAGTCCTGGGCACAGAAAATGAGGATTGCTAAACTCGGGGGTTAAAGCGTTTTAATATGTTGAGTTTTAAATTTCTGATTGTGTGTTTGCAGTATGGTGAAGCTGCACACCAAAGCGATACAGCAGTGAATAGACAATGAAATCTAAAAGCTGTGGTTTCAGTGAGGTTGTCTTACCCGTTGAGAGGATGATGATGATGAAGAATGCGGTCTTCAGATAATCCGTCAGCCGGGCCTCCATTCTACCACCTGATAAGGAGAAGCAGAAAAAGTGAACTGCGATGGAAAAACAGGAACAAATTGTAATTTCTGCATGTGCAAAGAGAAGATCAACCTCGAAAATTGACACCAGCAGCTCACGAACCCAAAGGTTAAAAGAAACAGTGTACACTCACATATTACTATAAAAGGCAAATTTATTCACAATTCCAGCATACCTTTCAAACTGTCACTATGTGCAGACACACTTCCTGCATAACCACCAAAAATCCCCCAGAGGGCCCACATGTTTGACATAATAAAACATTTTTTTAATGATACTATTCTTATCCAGTTGCCTGGTTCGTTATCTGTACTTCCATACCAACGAATACAAATGAGTTCAGGCTCAAAATACACACAAGGACCCTTAAACGCTCTTATCAATGGAAACAGTCCTTTCCTTTAACGGTCATGCACACATGACCAGCAGCTCACACTGTCCATCACTTTTTAACAAGTTGAGTCTTCCTCCATACAGACAGTTTCAGTCAGTATTACTCAAACATTAAAGCAGGCATTTAAAAAGTATGTGCTTCAAAAACGCTGGTGAAGATTCTCAGTCATCCAGGACATGGTAAATTCAAAAAAGTTCAAAACAAAAACAACTGGACTTTATTTGTAACAGAAGACGCTTCGCTTCTCATCCGAGAAGCTTTCTCAATTCAAGTTCAAGTTATAAAGCTGAGATAAGATACATACGAACTGTACATATGCAGATGGACCTATCACACCTCACAGTAGGGGTTTGTTAAGGTCTTTGTTAATCTAATTCACAGAATTGCTGTGCTTCAAAGCATACAGTTGGGTTTCTAAAGTCACGACCAACTCACTTAAAGGATAAGGCAAGTTGTGTTTATCCAGCCATCTTGAAACACTGTACAAAAATAAAGGAAGTGTTTAATTACGACCCCCAAACTCAGATAAGCAAAAAGGATTAGAAGATTAACTATAAAGTAGGACTCCGGCTCTGTAAATGTGCTGTTTTTTGTTTTGTTTTTTTAATCAAAATGTGATTCAAGACCTCCATAAATCATGACCGTTTTCTCAAAACATGTCTCCCTTTAAACAGTGAGAAACAGTACAGCAAAAAAAATTACAACATGAAGGTTCCATAAAAAAACATGGCTTAATTACAATTGCTGAGAATGGTGTGAGTCACCAGACAGACGTGGAAATTAACTTCACACACGCAGACACTTCACATTTTCAGTTTCAACCAAAGATGTCAGTCCCAGACTACACAACACAGTCTACAAAGAGCCCAACTTGACAACACGCTTACCATCTTTAAAAACAAACAAACAAACAAAGAGTAACACTGGCACATTCATTCACAGGTGAATGATTTTAGCTGAAACAATGCCAACACTGCATCTGTGTGTGAGTGGGATTTCTGTACAGTGTGCGTGACTTTGAGCACCCGTAAAGAGATGCAGACACTGAATTGGAAGGAAACACAAACATACAGATCTCCTCAACATCACAAGACAGACAGGAACCAGTTGAACCACAGAGAGCAAAAACACGCAGACAGAAAGAAAAAGACAAAGTGACAGAGAACAAAAATATCAAACTGGAAAGTCTTGGAGGTTCAGACAGCCTGTTTATAGATATGCACACTGAGACGATCCAGATCTGTGAGAACTTAAGGCTAATACAGATACACAGGAACACAGACGTATACAAATATTAGATGATACAGCAAAAAATAAAAAGTGCAAGACATTTTAATATTTGCATGTCTGAACAGGTAAAGGCTGAAGAAACTCACATGACAAAGATCCAGTTTGGACTGAAACACTGTCAATAAAATAGTCGTGTTCTCAACTAGACTTTTTTTAATCAAATGAAGTGCTGGGAACCTACGGGACATTTCTTTGGACTTTATTAAAGTGCTTATTCTAAATTCTCAACTATTACTTCTATTTGTTTTTGTCAGTTTTAAATTACAGCAAAATGTCTACAGAGAGTCTTAAAAATATATTTTTCTATAATAGTATTAATGACGTATTAAATACAGAGAAAGAACATGCTTTTCTAAAGATTCTCCCAAATTATCTGTAGCCATTTGTTCCTTTGATACTATCTAACAATTTCCCTGCAAGAACTACCCATTTCAGTGCACAATACAAACTTTATCAAGCTAAGGATAAAGCTAGTGAAAACTATTAAAAACAGTTCCATTGTGTTTGGTTCTTGAGGAACAATGTAACAGCAAGCGTGCCAAAAAAAACAATAGGCTGCTGCATTACCATTTTTGAAAAACTCTGTATGTTTAAGAAACACTGATATAAAAAAGTAAATTATAAAAATGTTATTTTACATTTTAAATATTGTCATTGCTGGGGAAAAAAGTGTAAATGAAAAAGAAAACATTATTGTAAAATATGTAGTGTGGACAAGGTCCAAACTGCAGGATATGTTTAAATTTTGTCCCGTATGTTGTTACTGTTCCTTTGTCTCTTTATCAATTACAACATCTATCCCATGCTAGCTTGACATTAAAAGTAGATAAAGGGATTTGGCTGGAATAATATAAACCAGAGCTATTGAACTAAACTGCTCAGGGAGCCACAGTTACTGAAAGCCAGCAGCTCAGGGGCCGGACATCCAGCAATTAAAGTCATTATGTAAATAAACCAAGTATTACAATGATCTGTTACCTTTTACATTTGTTTCTTTTGTTGCATTGAATAATAACTGCAATAAACAGAACCAAAACCCATAATCAAAAAAATAATAATAATTTATGAACTCATTGGTGGGCCAAACAGAAGTCACCCGCGGGCCGAAAGTGGCCCGAGGTCCGCCAGTTGAATAGCCCTGATATAAACTACTTTGGAGCCTGATCTGTGTGTCAGTCTACAGTTTGAAGCAGCTAGAAAACTTTCAATTCAGGACTAAAGGAAAAAAAAAAGTGAATGTTTATATTTTAAATTTTTTATTAATCAGTGTTCAAGATTATTTAATATTCTCTATTTACAAAACATGATATAATTCAGGCTAATTCCTACCTCAGCTGAATAAACAGTTATGTGAAACTGCATTCCTAGTACTTTTCACAGTTTAACTGTGGTTTTCTCATTTCCCCTATTTAATATTTTGAGTGACACATTACATTGTGACTTTGTAGAAACTGAAACAGTGATAAACACACAGAGAAAGAGTTAGTAACTTCTACTCTTTTTAAGTGAAAATGTTAAATAAGACTGGTATATATATATATATAAGTGCGTAGATGAACGAAATCGGAAAAACCTCGGCCATGGACCCAACATTAA